TCGCATTCCTTAAGAGAACGGAATCCTTGAGATAATAACCTGTGCGTGAGGGAGACAAAAAAAGCTTTGCTGGGATCCGTTGCAGACACTCGGTGACAAGATACTTCCATAACAGGTGGCGTTTTGTGCAGTAAAAATGTTTCAGGTTTCTGTACTCTCACAAGCGGCTCGTAGCAGTTGGAATTCCACTGATAGCGGATCAGCTACAAGGTGTTTGAACGTCGCAGAGCATGGTCAAATGCCGAGGTTAAGATTAATTTGTGCTCTGAGTCCTTTAAAAAAAACCAAATAAAACAAAACTGTCGACTAACCAAGGTAAAGAAAAGAGATGAAAAAATGATACTGTAACAATGATTCGACATGGTTACGGTTATTAGCCTGGCTTGTACAATGGCTCACAAGTTCTAGAAAATAAGAAAGTCTGCGTTCTACTTTCCATACAACTTACCCCTTTACTCACATGGATTCTTAGGCTCCACGAAATATCGTGGGAGTAGCACAGCACATTTTCCATTTGTTTTGTTGCCATACAACCGTCAACGACGATGGTGTTACTTGCCTTCCTACATCATCAGGTATTCCACTAACTTACTACTTATAAAAAGTAGTAATAGTCCGCTTTAGTGTAAAGGTGAAGTTTTAATGTCGTCGAGTGGGAGGGAATTTCAGTGCTTTATTGCACTATACCACTCGTGTCCGAAGAAAGGATTCTAAAGGAATTATATTTTACGATACACACTTCTCACTGATGGGGAAATCTGTTGGCAAATTAGTGGAAGTGAAAAGAACCGCTTCCTTGGAAATTGACGATCATTAAACACGGGTCTGATGCTAATTTATTGTGGAACTACTGCAAGCCATTCGACGCTCACCTAGCAGTGACTGACAGTCAAGCAAGGAACAACTTTATCAAAGGTGATTATTGATTAGTATTTTTTCATTAACATTGTGAAAACAATCCCACAACTGTTATTTACGGCCTATTGTTTTTTCATAACAAGGTATTATGTGAAATACAACTGCAAGAATGCACGGACATGACCAAAGCTGGGGACCTCAGTTGGGCTTCGAACCTGTAGTTACCCTTACCTGGGGCTCACTTCCTCTCCATCACACCAACTGAAGCCCTTGGTTTGCGTTCCTCTCAACATCCCAGTCTCCCTAAAAATAGTTATTGACCACTTTGTTTTGAGATTTTACAAATTTTGTGACTATTAATGGAATAATCGATCGATAGAACTAGCTGAGAGACAAGTGAAACGAAGAACCCGCATGGCGTGGTGGTGAACGCGTTAGTCTCCGGAAAGGACAATAGCGCGTTCGTTTCCTATCGCGTACACCTGCGGTCCGGAGTATTGCAAATATCTCAGCAACATTGAAGTTATATTTCGCAATATATACCCTGCCAGTACAAAGAGTAGGCAGCAAATAATAAGTTAAAGTTGTGATTATAACTATTAGAGTTGTATCAACAGAATATGAGCACTTTTATCAAATGGAAGAAATATAAATAAAAATTGAAAATAAGTAAAAAGCAAAAATAAAATTTGGTTTCTTAGGAAAAACTCGGTACCCGTTCGTTTTTTTTCGATTATGAAAAATTATGTTAACTGCGTTATACCTTTTTATTTTCTGCCTATTATAATTTCGCGGCAGGGTACTAAGCGAAATACAACCACAACGTTGCTGAGATATTTGCAAAACTCTGGACCGCAGGTGTCTATGGTGGGAACGAACGCGCTACTGTCCTTTCCGGGGAGTAACGCCTTCACCACCACACCATGCGGGTCCTTCGTTTCTTCTGTCTCGATTTGGGCGCCCCAGATCAATCCCGCTGACGGGTGATTGCTGCGGCAAAGATCAATAGAAATAGCTGAGAGACAGGCGAAACGAAGGACCCGCATGGTGTGGTGGTGAACGCGTTACTCCCCGGAAAGAACAATAGAGCGTTCGTTCCCCACCATAGACACCTACGGTCCAAAGTTTTGCAAATATCTCAGCTATGTTAACTGTTTTGAAACGACACGAAAAGTATTGGGACCTTCGCCAGTAACCTTAAGGACTTGGTGAAAAACGGGGTTACGAGTTGTACTGACAACATAAGAAGAAAGTGACTGAAAGTGAATATATCACGGTTACCTTAGCCTTCCGAACAAATCCATTATGGGTTTATGTTTAATCCGTGTATTGTAGTATAGAATTTGATTTTCTACTCCATGCGAGCCAATCGCCAAAGTATTTTGAAGGGTCTAATTCTTAAATTCCAATAAGCTAACTGATTTTACTAAAGATTTTTTCACAGTTTCTAAGATCTGTTAGTTTAATGCAGTTTCTTAGGAAACATGGTGTACACCACTAATGGTGAGGTATCGGCTAGAAATGATCTTGCATTAGATGGAACAATCACTGAGAATGCCGCTAGTTGAACACTTTCAAGTTGACGTCGGGCTGCTTTACGGAAGAAAAAGAACTCGGAAGTAATAGTTACTAATTCAGAAATAGAATGTGATAAGAATTCAAGATCGTAGCACAGGATGACGAGCTACACATGAGTTCACGCAAGAATTGGCTTTGTGTTGATGACAAAGAGCAGCGGATCCATGTGGATTCTAGACGATTGGAGATGTTTGCAGAAAAGTTAACTGTGATAATGCCAGGTTTCTGTGAGGTCTGTCTTTATTACCGAAAACGGTGCCGATCACTTCAAAAGGCGAGTGAACGAATAATGAGTTGAATGCCTCAAAAGAAAAGTATTAGTCAAGGCGCTTAGAACAGGTGCAAGAACAAAATGGCTCGACAACCATTCGGGCAACCCGAATTAGATTAATAATGGCTCCCTTTTACACAATGGTATGTGATGGGATGAGTCGCTTAACTGGAAGCGGTTCCGATTGCTGTAAGCCAAGCTTGAAGAAGACCGAGCATTGAATATGTATGGTTACCAATCGTGGTAATGAAAGTATTAACGGAACTGATGGCCCAGTGGCAGTGATACTGGTCATCACGAGCACGGTGCTGGTTCGATCCTGGTCCGGGCCTACCAAGTCTCTCATACCTGCGGCATCGGTAAATTGGTACCCGAATTGTGCGAAAAAAATCGCTGTCTTCAAGCTAATTGGGAACGCTCCATCCCAGTTATCTCAGCACTCTGGGTATTGTTCGACCAGCATTCTACGACATTCAAGATGAAATGAAAATCCTGAAGCGGCAACCGTAGCCACACGTAAAATTTGGAAGATCTTCGTGGACAATGGACGGGAGGAAACGAATCGAATGTGAGAAGTGCTAGTACACGCACAGTAGACGTGAAGGCTCGTAGTAGAAGAAGGGGCTTAGAAGAAAAGTGGCTCAAATCTGAGAATTAAGAACAAACGCTTATGATACTTTGAGAAACCGATTTGTTCTTTTCCCATTTGGACAGTTTGACATTGCCGATTATCAGAAGCACATCGTGAGATACAGACGAAAATGAAATACGGCACGCCTGATCACTGAGACTCGTCACTGAGAACCAGAAAGGAGCCACTTAGCAATGAAACACGAAGGTTACTTGATCTTATTTTCTGTCACACGCGAGCTCACTCTCGATACAGGCGACATTTTCTGGCGTGATGGCGGATTTCTTGTGAACTTTTTGGTGTTCTATTGAGCAACACTAGGATTTTTGTCATTTTTTGCTGGATATATTTCAGTTGAGGTTCATTGTCTGTTCAATCATAAATCACGTTTATCACCTGTCGTCCCATTGATCGTTGAGCGACTCGAACGGGCGTCAGTAAACCTTCCATTACCCCTGTCACCTACAAGAGAAGGCCAGTGGGTTCTGCTAGCTTTCGAGACTTGTTGAGCTTCATATCTTTTTCCTAGGGTTTTCATGAAGAACTATGATCGTCAAATTGGTTTTCTTCCTGCTGTGCATTTGACATCCCGAAAAATCGAGTCACTAAGGGCTGTTGTACATCGGCTGTCGTTCATATGTCCGGTTGTCGTTCATATATTCATACAACTCCGGCTCACCTTATCTTCGAAAGATTAGTCCATAGAACGGAGTGTTTCATTTTAGATCGTTAACGTGAGTCGAGGCTTCAGATCCCATCCCTCACTTGTGTGACAGGGAATACGCCTTGCATCACCCTTTCGACTGCGCCTTCTAGAACGCTAAGTGGTCTTTCATCCTGCTTACGTCGCGACCAGATTTCTGACGCATACGTTAGGGCAGAAAGTACGCTTCAGTCGAAAAGGTGGACAAGGAGTAGGGTGTTTTTTTTCCTTCACTGCGTCCTCGATGCCTCTGAAAGCTCCCAAGCCGCTTCTTTCCTTCTGCTCAACTCTGGAACTAAATCGTTCATCATGCTGATATCCCGACCTAGATGGACGAAACTGCAACATTCAGAGATATTCGTTCTTTTGAGCGTAGATGGAGCATACCAAGCGAATCCGTTTCTCGTGACATTTTTTTTTGCGAAATTTGGTCGAAAACTAACCTTTCCATAGGCTTTATCAAAGTCGGCTGGCATTCGCTCCGCCTGTTTTAGGCGTGCGTGGTGTTATAAGAGCGATGCCATCAGCGAAACGAAAGCGGTGTAGTGGCTGATCATTGATTTTCACTTCCATAGTGTCTCATTCCAATGTTCATACTACATTCTGTAGGGTGGAAGTAAAATTTTAGAGAGATAGTTTGACCTTGGCTAAGTCCCCTTTTGCGTCGATGTTAGTATCGTTGTAAAATGGGGAAGTATGAAAATCTTCCCATAAAAAGTCATAAATAATGATATAACATTGTCAAAGAACTATATTAGGAGTACAACAGTTGAAAATTGAACAGTACATGAACGGTACGAAAGACAAAGATCTCCTTTTTGGGAAGAAGGTGTTGAAATAGTGCATTTACCTGCCTGAAGAATAATAACGACTTTTACAAAAATTCTTCTCGGTCTTCTCCTATTTGGCTAAACAAAAAATAACTTTTTCATTAAAATAAATGCGTGATAATTTTCTAGATGACTATGACACGAGGTTGGTGTAAAGATCGTTGTAGATTGGTGAAGAAATGGAAATCCTGGTGAAGCTAACGGCAAACCTTACCAAAAGTTCGAATTTTTCCTCATTTTCAATGATTTCCATATCAACTTCGTGTCAAACCAATTGTCTAGAAAACTAGCGGTAATTGTTACCGAGGTTAAATAAAGGTCGCTTTCTGTGACAAATATATAATATTTAATTTGAAATCCGTGGTTTTCGCCGCTAATTTTCTTCAGAACTAATGAGGAGCGGGAGGATAAAGGATTCTGTCTGGATCGGAATGAAGACGCAAAGCGCGTCGTCGTCGTCACGCTTGCCATTCCCGAACTTCAACAAAGAAAGTCCCATTGACGGATGTGCAGGTGAGTAGGCTAGTACTTTCTCTTTAAACGCTCCCTTCCAAACACTAAAGCGAATTGCTCAAATATATTATATGACTCGCCTTCAAATATATATTGTTGTGGATCCGACCAGTTCTTACATTTCACTTCTAGCATTATTCATTTCTTTGTCTCTGTCGTTACTGAAAGTGTTCGGAGTTGCGCGTGAATTCGGATACCGATTAAGATTGTTGTATTTTATCCTTCTCATGAATGTCCTTGAAAGCTCATCGGATGAATTTTTTTTAGAGTTGTGGGATAGCTTTGCTAGTGTGTTCCAAAGTCTTTACTACGTACATCAGTAAATCCTTTGGGTCAAACAGGACTTTTCCCAAGTAGGTACGGTATCAATTCACGACGGATCTGGTGGATTTGGTGTCTTATTAAATTCGGTAGCTTTAGTAACAATTAAAAACGTCTCTGTTCATGGTTAATTCAGTACTCATGAACTTATTTGACTGTGCATACAGAGCTTCCACTTAGACAAAATCCGTCAAAAAATAAAAGAGATTTCTGTGAGTGAGTTGATCTAACAACTTTCGTTCCAACCTATAGGGCTATCAGCATCTACCTTTCAACTACAGCTTAAACTCAACTGGGTTCAAGGTTAGTTCTTGCTCCCGAAATTGATCCCGTTAACGGTGTTGCTGATAGCACCGGTAGATTAAAATACAGCTGAGAAAATGACGAAGCGAGGGATGCGCATGATGTTGCGGCGAGCGCGCTAGCCCCCAGAAAGGGTCACAACGTGTTCAATTCCAAAAGCAGACACCTGCCGTGCGGGGTTTTGCAGTTGTCTCAACATCATTTGGTTGATTGATGGTTTGATGGATGGTGGCATAATACCCTGCCGTACAAATTGTAAAGGGCAGCAAATAAAAAAAGTTAACATTGAGATTTCTGTGGATGTTTCTGATCAGAGTTATCACACTGTTCATCAAATTACCGGTCAACGAACGTGTTCGAAAAAGGATTTTTCAAAATATTAGGTGAGAAGAATACAAACCTTTTCTGGGTACCCTTTACTCTTTCGATCTGCTTTCAATCAGCTATAGATTGAATATACATAGTGTGACAAAGATGTTTTCGAATCTACTGAACTGAAAATATACATTATAATGTACAGAGCGTCCGTTATGGGTTAAGCATCGATGAGATGATTGAGTGCATATGACCTTACCAATCCCTTACGGAGACCTACTATGCAGGAAATCAATGGCTTTTTTCTATCAAGACTAATATTGCGTCAATTTGCTGACTCTAAAAGGATGAGGGCCTTGGTCTGTCTAAGACAAAGGATCGAACAAAGGGTCACATATGTATGGCAGGGCACCTCTTATTGCTGCGCTATATGCACCATCATTTCAACTAGGCAAGATATTGAAAAGTACTGTGGTCCATTCGCGATCAAGTACAAAGAAGCACAGCCCATTAACCAAAGTAGTAATACGAACAATTACAGAGAACATTGCTAGTAGACTACAATCTCCAATCATCCTGCCTTTAATCTATCAGAGCTCTAGCCGTCCCAATTTTTTTTTAAATCGCTGCTTTTTTAGAACATTCCACCTTTAAAGTAGTTCTTTTTAAACCTTGTTTTCCAATTTGTGAAACAAAATTTTTTAAAGTGTTTCATTTCAATCATACACTAAACGCAGATTTCTAGCTTTTCCATGCAATTCAATCCACTTCTAAACTAGCGGTAGATTTTTGCTTTCATTTCTCCGATTTGTTTCTTTACCACAAGTCTTTTCGTTACGGTAGTCGACAGTGCTCGTACATGGTCAATCCGCCCTTGTGAACGGCTGCATCCCTTCGTCTGCCAAATGGTCCTTCTTTGATTTCGTTCTAACAAAATTATTGTGCAAGTTGAATAAAGCATTAACTCGTTAATAAGACTTTCTATAGTTTTACTGAGCCCAAAAAATTGGCACAGACCTATCGACTTGACCATCATTTATTAGTTAATGCTAAATTACCGCAGGAAACTGATACGTTGATGAAAAGTTCTCGTAGCTAAGTATTTTTTGGTCAGGTTTGCTTATTGTTTTCAACTTTGGTTCAAAGAATGTCGACACACTTGCAACAAATGAATTCTTAAACCCGACGATAATAAAGAAAAAAAGGGTTTCTGCGATAGAAAGTTAACTAACAAGGGCTATATTTGCAGTTGGAATGGAGTCATTTAATAAATTTAAAAGTGTGACGAAGTCACGTGACTTGCCCGAACTTTTCGAAATACCGACGACTGTGGAAGCAAATTAATATCAGTTTTATCACACTTTCTAGTGTTCCTACGTCTCGCATAAGTCATCGATGGTCTTTCATTTTCATAAAACTTTCTGAAGACTAATCGAGTTGAATCTTCTTGGATTTCTGACAGAACTCTAAAACAGCGTTCTTGGAACGTTATCACGAGAGATCGTCTAAACAGGAAGGAGCTCTTTCCAGACAAGTTTACTATTAGCCTTCCACTCTCTGAAAGATGGAGGGCTTGGTTGATTGCACGGAGTGTCGAACAATAGACGGTGCGTATATTACAGCGTGTACGGTATCTCTAACAACTCTTTCACAAATGAAGTAGTAATAATTAACAATAACAAGACATATTTATTTATATGTTCTTATGAACTGATCTTGTTGAGCTGATGCGAGGTTGGTATCATTGTCGCTGTTGTTTGTGTTGTTGCTGTTTTCGATTTTGCTCTTGTTGTTGTTGCCTTCGTTTTCGTTTTTGTTGCTGTTGTTGTTATCACAATATTAACCCTTTTATTTACTGCCTTTTTCTTCTTAATGGCAGGTTATGTTGCGAAATATAACTCGTATGAAATGCTGAGATTTTTGCAAATCTCCGGACCGCAGGTGCATGCAGTGGGGAACGAACTCGTGTTGTTGTCCTTACCGGGGAGCAGCGCACTTCACCACTACACCACCCGGGTCCTTCGTCTTGCCTGTCTCTCAGCTAGTTAGTTCTATCGATCTTTTTGTTGTTGTTGTTGTTGTAGTCGCTGCCGTTGTTGATGTTTCTGCTGACGCTGTCGTTGTCGTTGTTGTTTTTGTTTGCCGATGGCTGACGTTTCGGCGATTTTGCCTTAAAACTATAGTATTAATGAAAATTTAACATAAAAATAAACGCCATGTTGATCAAAAACCACTCACCGATGAGCGGGGTTGCCCGCGCGTTGTTCACGTGGAACGGGGATCGAGACCCACCCAGGGGTCAAAATATCGTTTCGAAATCAGGCGCCAGGCCACGTGTGATAGTGGGGCATTCGTCTTTCCGGTTCATCTCTGGATTTTTGAAATTTATTCCGAAGATTTCAAGAGTATCGAGTGTTGATGTTTTTGATTCCTGCGCTAGGATTCGTAAATCACTCAGTTACTTCAAAATCGTCACCATAGTGCTTTGTGTCCTATGTGTATCTAGAGGAGTGTTTAGACGGATTTAAGCTTTTCCATCTAGATGTTCTTCTATGCGGACACAAAGTGGTCTATCTGTTTCTCTAATGCATTCTTCACCACATGCCTTACACGAGATCAAGTGTATTGTACCTGAACTCACGCAGTTCCCGTCTCTCCCGTTAGGACAAATCATACAATTTTCTGAGCTGCACGAACAATCATAGAGACGATCTTAACCCTTTTATTTACTGCCTTTTTTTCTTTTTAATGCAGGGTATGTTGCGAAATATAACCCGTATATAATGCTGAGATATTTGCAAAACTCCGGACCGCAGGTTCTATTGATCTTTTGCCATCAGCAATCACCCGTCAACGGGATTGAACTAGCTGAGAGACAGGCAAAACGAAGGACCCGGATGGTGTGGTGGTGAAGTGCGCTGCTCCCCGGTAAGGGCAATAGCGCGTTCGTTCACCACCGCATACACCCGCGGTCCGGAGTTTTGCAAATATCTCAGCATTATATACGGATTATAGAGACGGTTGCGAAGTAACTGACGGCGTAGAGTATTGGGTAGGAGGTTAATAATCGCCACATAATTTCCAGGACCACCTCACAAGCACTTCTGGCGTAACTTACTTCGTTTAATATGAGAGGTAACTTGAAAGAGAACTTACTTTTATTCGAACCGTTACTTTGGGAAACAACTTTGCGCTTTTGTCTCAGCCGAGTGGATCCTGCCTCGTACCCGTTGAAAGTGGCCATTTTTCGTGCCTTGCGTTCCTCTTCTCCTGTGCACACATTTTTAGTCGTTCGGTAAATGTTTCTAATGAGTGGTTTTTTCACGTTTGAAGGAAGACAGGAGAGGTAATGAACTATTGTTCTTTGTTCACGATTAAGCTGACGTTTCGGCGAATTTCGCCTTCTTAGTGGGTTCTTCATACTTAGTGGAGACCTCATAGAAAGCGGCTCTGAAGAAGGCGAAATTCGCCGAAACGTCAGCTTAATCGTGAACAAAGAACAATAACACCTCGCGTTTGCTCAAAAAAATACGAACAAAATCACTTGATCAATGCCGAGGTTAATAGAAAGTCGGTCGTGGCAGTAATAAACTATTTTTGCTACTTGGTTGATGATACCGTTTTGCTATGTAGGCGCTTTCTGAAAGCGTTATCTGGATGTTTAAAAACGAAAGCCAGTACTCAGTTGGTTTTTCTCGCGTAATTTTTATGTACCCTGATTGCCCATTTAACAGTTGAAAGCACTTGTCTATATGTTCCTTTGTAGAGCAGTCGGTTAGGCCCTCGTCTATGCATCGACGGTAGAATGACGGTCGCCGATCGACAACTGGTGCTTCCGCCTTAGACCTAAAACCTATGGCAAAGCTTGGTGTTAATCGCTGTCTTATGGCTAACCTTCTAATTTGTGCAAAATATCTTTCCGACCACCTAAAGATTGAGCAACAAAGATACTGCTTTAAAAAGAGTGAATAGTGTGATTAGTTGAGCAATCGACAAGCCGTATATTTCTATTTTTCTTTCATGTTCCACGAGCAACTAGGGAATGGCTTGCATTGTGGAGTCATTCGACACAGGCTTAGCAACCATGTCATTCTATCTGTTAGCCCACCTACAGAACTGATGATTGGTCGAAACTTAAATTGGGTCGAGTTGGCGGAAACAATGTCATCAGTAGAAGTAAGCTTGTGGATCTGAATTAGCATGTATAGGACAGGGTACACTAATACGCAACTTACTAAGTCAAACGCT